TGACCTTATACCGAACAGTGAGTGGTTTATATTCCACTAAATGAAACTGATGCAGTTACCTCTGTGTGCAGTTTTCTTGTAATTATCGTCGGCAAATGGAACAGATACTTTGCCATGAACAATTATTACTCAGCTGCGGTATATAATTTATATTATCAATTATTAAGCGATTCACTAAGTAGTTTATAATTTGTTCGATTACTGATGATTTTATGATAATAGTAAATATATTTTTTGTTATAATCCCAATGAGTATAAAATTGTATTCCTGACGTTTCGTGATTTGGTGTATGCCACTTCTTCAGGGTGGTTTATCTACTCTGATATTCGTGGTATTTGTGATATTTGTCACTAAAGAATCCTATGAGATGCGAATTTAACGTTGAATTCTATCGTTATCACAGTAATCTTTGATTGTGAAATCTGCTACACTTTGAAAACTATAAGGCTTTTTTGTGGGTCAGTATTCAACTTTGTTAAGTACTTCAATATCTAGTTAATGTGCATACATTTGGTATAATGCTATGAAATACAATTACGATTTTTGTTAGTGGTCATGTACAAGCGCGTTTATTAATTTGTAAGTTAACGATTTCCTGTCGCTACACGAAAAACCAAGCTATTGGGATTGGTTTTGAGGAAGTACTACTGTAGTCATGATGTCTTATTTTAATATATTTGGGGTAGGTATGTATCAGTATTTTCTACTTTGTAAGATATTTATGTATGTGATTATTAAGCTCACTGCAAGACAGTTGTCATCACATTGTTCATAACTGTATGGAGAAAATTCAAAGAAGCGTTTGTTTTATCAATTTTCATGTTAGGAAATTATCTGACTAATTGTTAAGCAGTTTACGAAAAAAATTTTGAGTACTTATTAATCATCAATTTAAAAATAACGAAATGCATAATAATCCTCACAGCTGTAGTTCTACATATGTAAAAATGGTTATAATACTATACTAATATAGATCTTTACAGCAGTGATGTAGAGTTGTTAATGCACTTGTTATATAGTGGTGTGATAGGTTCAGATCCCAAGCTCTGCGTACTTTGGTTTAAGAGATCAAAGAGTATCACTCATAATCTCTCAAAAAATATGATTTAAAACTGTGCACAAATCTATACTTAGTTACTGAATTGAATTAATCAATGTATGTGGTATCTTTGTAAGATCCACTGACAGCTATAAACACCTTTGAATTTATTATCTTGGTTCAGTTTGATTGATGAGATGTTCAATCAAAAATTAACATACCGCTTTTCACTTTAGGTACATTCTGAGTACTTCAATATTGGACTTGATTTATAAACATTTTGATTAGCCATCGTTATATAGGATCGATTTAATACTTGTCATAACTCCGATTATGTTTTCTCCTAGACTCAGACACTAACTCAAAACAGTGGATAAAGCTATAGTTGATAAATTAGTTAAAATAAATAATGGGTCGATGAGTATTAATTCTAGTATTATATTAATTATTTATCCCATCATAACGCTATGTTCTAGTTAGTTTCCATATACGTTAAATTACTTAATTTCCGTAATATCTAAACGGGTTAAGTAGTCATTGGTTGGTGGAACTATTCATTCAACACTTAAGCTATTCAGTAGTTTTGTAGTATCTAACCGTAAATTCGCATTTGTGCTGGTTTTTTTAAAAGTATTTTTCTTATTGAGATTATACAGTTCAGTTGGAGATATACTATTTATTTAGTATTTTACGGATTGAAGAATTATGCTAAATAGACTATTTTTAACATCTTTATTTTATTCCTTTTTATCTATTTTCAAGGTGTGCCTATAGCGGAGGAACCAGATACAGAGTTCGAACCAACAAAACTAGGAATATTTGCTAAAAATAATGAGCGACCTGAAAAAAGCGAATTAGTTACTGCATGTTCTACGTCTAATTGGAGCCAACCCATGGTAGTGGCCAGTTCATCTTCGAACCTTCCAATTATGAATGGTTTAACTGTAGTAACTCAATCGTTTGTACCTAGTAGCCAGTTTACAAGTGATTTCAATCTTGATCCTAGAACATCACAGGCATTTATACCTCCAATTATTTCTGATCCTTTTTCTGCTGCTCCAATCAATCCAGCTACAATACAACGGCACTATCAGATGGAATTGCAACAACAACACCAGCAAATCACAGGATCTTCACTACTAAGTTCCAAAGCAAGTGTAGTTTACTACATAACAATGTTTTATCTCTTCACTATGCATTCATTCATAATTTTAGTTTCTCTTAATTGGATATGATTGACTTAGGATACGTAAATGATATTTTCTTGTTAGTTGGAGTCACTATAATGAAAACTCTAAAATCTTTGTCATACTTTTTCATAAATATCAAGTGTAAAACGATATTTTTTTGGGTGTCATAAACAAACATGTTATTGTTTATCAGCAGGAAGTTGTTTGACCTGGAATAATTTATTAGTTGACTTATTTTTTAGATTATGTCATCATTCTTTTCAAATAGGTGACCAATAAAGAAAACATGAACACGTTTATTCACACTTGATATCGTACCGAATTTTCGGTATTGATAGAAGTATTTACATGTTATAGTTTTATTGTGTAATCTAGTTGGTTTTTATCGTGCATCGTTTAATGATTTCTATGTTTCAAAGTAAAAAAATATTAAAAGTCAGTAGGTACTTAACAGTTAATAATTTTTCAACATCTTACATTTACCATTAAATCACTGAATGTGTTATACTGGTTATGTTTAAATCTCCAACAAAGTAAATTTTTAAGTATTTGTTAACTGGGACGGTTTGAATGTATATTGAATGTGTTTGCTCTTTGGCTTCCTCTGTAAATATATTCAGAGTGAAGTGATCAAAGCAAAATTCTATAAAGAAATTGTTTATTTGCTTGTGTGGATTAGACATGGTATTAGTAGGCAAAATAGTAGGAAATTTTCTGTTTGTTATTTTCAATAATGTAACTGAGAATTATTCACAATTTGGTAGCTGTGACCACTATAAAGGAATATGAAAAAGCGTTTATTTTACGTTTTATGCCAGTCGTTTGTAAAGAGGTCGTTCCAGTTCAATAGATGATTTGACAATATAAATTGAAGTGATTAAACTATTATTTAAGTAATCCTTTGATGAATGCAAACAAAGTCATGGGCAATTACCAACTCACTCATATATCTCCAACATATATCTGAATGGCTTAAATAATGTCAGATGACATCATATTTATCAATTATTGTTCAGCAATACTGAAGTTCAATACGTATCGGATAAACAGAAAAGATTTTTGTATATATTTGTCTATACGGATTTCACGAATTAATTTGAATAGGAACTCGTGATTTTATTGATTCGTACTTGGTTAAAATATATCATTACTATTATTATAATAATTATTGTACATTTCACCAATATATTTAAATATAGTAAAATTCGACCATAAATTAGTTAAATCATTATGGTATTATTAAATTCTATGCCATTTTTATGAATTGTTCGGAACGAAACCGGAAGTCAGGAGGATACTACAGTTAACTTACAATTTTCAGTATGTGCATCATTTTATTGAGTTTTAGTTATTTTGTAGATAAAGTTTATTGGTTTATTATTGTAACTACATTTTTATGTTCCTTGCATGTAATAATGATAATAATAATATTTGTATTTTTAGGCTCCAACGACTGTTGTTTCAACTATCAGTTCTACACCAACTTCACCATTTTTAGGCGGACCACCAATTGCTGCCCCAACTGTATCGACCAATACTTTTAATTCTAGTCCATGGGCAGTCACATATCCACAGATGCAACAATTTAACAAATCTATTATTCAATATAGTTCAAATTTACCCAGTTTTCCTACTGCTACAGTGAATTCTCAAACAAATCTAACTTATCCTTCCAATGGTGCTTTAAAATCAGGTCGTTGTGAAATTGTTAAATCATAGTTGATGAATGCTGTTTCAATTCATGTGTTATTATTATCATTATTAATTTTCATTGTTATTACCTACTTATCTTCACTACTCTTTAATCATTTATTTTATCCTATTACTTTCGATAATTTTCTCTTGTCTCCTTACACTTATTTCATTTGTTTCTTTAGGTTCCACAAATCCATGGTCATCATCAATCGGATTGATTGATGGAAAAAACATTAGTAATGCAAACTGGCAACCTTCATCACCATCGTCATTGCCACCTGCTCTTCTACCTCCAGAACCTGATTGTCTTTCGGATCCATTCGATTTAGGTTGGGTGGATAGAGCTACAGCTGGTGTATCGAATACATCAAGTGGACGAGGCATCAGTAATCCATTTCTAATTGCTAATGGGGGTGGTGATGATATCCTTAATTCAAATGTATCATCTGTTCATTAATTAAATCAGCCATATGATAATAATAATTATTGTTGTATATAATATATATATATTTTTTTTCTATCAACAAAAAGAGTGGGGATAAAAATCTGTCTCGTTAATGATCAATGATAAATAGATTTTTCATCATTATTATCTCTTGTCTCACTAACTTTCTTTACTTAATACAAAACACTTCATAACATTTTCAAAATCTCTAGTTTCAGATGATTTACATCATATAACAAAGTGTAATTTGTTGAATTCTTAATTTTGTCAGGGCCATAAATGAACAATATTATTTCTAAAAATAGTAGGTCAGTGCCCATGTATTCGCATTCCTTCTTACGTACACAAAAAATTCTAGGTGCTGTGTTGATTATTTTCTCCATTATAAATTAAAACAGCATATGACAATGATAACATTAAAGGGTGATGGATGCAGTTTACCATTACATTTTGTTTTCTTCTGTAAAAGCTTCAACAGTTTTCGAAAAAAGCGATAGATTCTTCTGTAGTGATGCTGTGATCTTAATTTTCTTGTTTTCCTTTTGCTTCGATTTAAGTTTTTATCCATCATGCTTTGTTTTAAGAACTTGATAACATTTTCATATAGTGTAAGTGTTCTTTACACAAAATGTCCATTATATGCATTACGTCTGTTATTATCTATTTTGTTGCGGTCGCATATATTTGTGTATTTATCTCATTTGTTGTTTTTCTATCCTCCTCTACAGCTTGATCGCCCTATTCGTTGTGCTTATTTTATCTTTTATCAGAGGACTACCTGTGTATACATTGCATGCATATTCTTTTTCTTAATTATCTTTATGATCATTTATCCGCATTGACAAGCTGTTTCTTTATGTTTTGATATTTCTCACTATCATTTCATTGAATAAGTTCCGAATTTTTCTCAACTTTTTTCTCTTTCCCTATCGACTTATATTCATTTCTCTACTTACGTTAGTAATTTCATACATACTTGAATCTAATACGGTCTTGTCATATAACATGTTTTATTTTTTATCGTAAACAAAAGCTATTGGGTGAAAATGATCTCATATTATTATTATTATTATTATTATTATTATTATTATTATTATTATTATTATTATTATTATTATTATTATTATTATTAGTGATTTCATCCTCTTGTTCCTTAGTTCCTCTTGGTTTTGTCATCTTCCATGTATCGTTAGCTACCATTTCTGCTAACTGTGGTGCGATAGCCATGACTATAATGTCAATGGTGGTAATGGCTAATGAAATTAATAATTGTTTTCCATTTTCTATCACGTTCTTTCTTATGTCTTTAGTCAAATGATCTATCTTCTTTTTTTGTTACAAATACATTTGGTAAAAAATCTTTCTAAAACACATATGGACCAAATTGCGTTTTGTTTATGTACGTAACAATAATTTTTTTCAAATGCTAAATGATCACGTAATTTTATTTGATTAAATCGTAGCATTATTATTCGTGCTTATTGCCAATACAATGTTCCAGTCCGAGATACCTAATTAAAAGAAATTGATTTAATGTATTGTTGTGTATCATTCTTTTTGTTTGTAATTTATTCACTAATGACAAACACAAAATATCGCTTATTCTAATCAGAATTATAACACTCAAATTAGTAATAGTGGCTTTTTCATTAGCTGTCTTATTTGATGTATGACAAATATATTTGCGCCAAATGTGATGTAAACAAATCTGTTTCTGTTTTTCTCCACTGTAATACCTTGTGTTTTTAATAAAAATCGGACCTACTTTCTTTTACACAATATTACCGTCTTTACTATTATTGTTATGCGACTAATTTACCCTTACTCTTGTGGATATATTCCAGATCAACTATACATTGGAGATAAATGATATTAACATTACAAATAAAAATGATTTTCTGTTACGGTTTGGTTTGTTTCTTAACAAGTCAAAAATTGCTTTGTGATTCATGTATCCATTCATGCCAGCTTTCAATCATTAGGTCACAGATTCAAATAGTGCCTGCTATATTTAATCTGGGTTAGATATTCGGATGCTAAAACCGACATTTATGTTTTAAAGCTGAGTGCGTAAACTTACAGATTGGTAAATGAATTGTTGTGTTTTCCTGTTAAAGTAATAATTCTAAATGGGGCACTTTTTATTGAGGATCTATTTAATTGTATGTTGATTTGGATAATCTAACTTGCTTCTTCTGAAACACTTAAATTCTAAAGAATAATTGTATCAGTCTAGTTTGTAGGTTCTTATTATTGGACATACGCATGATCGCTACTACATACAGATTCAACACCAGAACTTGTAAATTGATGCACTGTTGTTGATTAAAAAAACTAATTCATGTGTCAGCTGGTAAGCTTTTGCACCCAGCTTTAAAACATAAAGGTTGGTTTTAGCATCCGAATACCCAACCCGGATTAGATGTAGCAGGCACTATTTGAATCTGTAACCTAATGATTGCTTACATGAATCACAAATATTCAAACATTATACATAAACAGCTTCAAACAATGATCAACTAACATTCATACTCATCCATGAATGTTTGCGATCAGTATTGCTTCCACAACATCTGTCTGTATTGTCAAATTCAGCTGATTTCATCACCGAAAAACAGGAAAGGATAAGAGGATGATTTACGAGTCATCGCGGTGGCACTATAATGAGAGAAAACTCAGTTACGGTAAACCAATTTATTGTTCAATCAGCATCACACGATACCTTTATGAAATATGAAAATCATACCCTGAGTACATCATTTACACATCTTTCTTGAGTCGTCCTTTACATGCTCCATCGTTTTTCAATCCTGTTGTTTTTCCGATTGCTTTCTGTTTTCTGTCCTCTTCATTTCTATCTACTGGTGAGCATTGCAATTTCTCTACATACTACTTATGTCTGTTCGTATAAGTAGTGCATATCACAGCATTTCTTGAGTTGAGGACATTTTATGAAGTGTTCAAATATACGTGATTGACGAACAAAATTAGTTAATTACGACAAATCTAGAACAGGACAGTCAATGGCAATAAATGCAAATTTTGAAAGATGGTAACACAGAAGGCTTCTAATTCATCGGAAAATAACCGAAGTTTCCTATCTCAATTGATTCACCCATTTACGACAAGCCTGTCAACTCAAGAGAAGCAAATTTTCTTCTCAAAAATCTTAGTGCATAAAAGTCTACCTTGTTTTTTGTTTTCCGCAAACATTTAGAAAGCTGACTACTGACTGGATTTGTGTTAAATCATTTCTACGCTAATGAGCATAAACTGATTGAAGCATTATGCTTACACTAAAAAAACGTTGAGAAAATAAAACATATCCTTAATTACGTATTATCTGTGGTATAAACGGTAAGTTGTATAGTATGTTATGAGATCTGGCATACAGAAGACGCCACGCATTTGATCCCCATCTGCTTCTTGAACATGAGAATCAAGACATAAAATATTAGGGTTAATCTAATTGGTTAGTCATTCTTGTTCTTACACCAATACTCAAATATTCTGCAATCACTGAGTAACTAATTTCATGTCGCTACCTATATATGATTTAAATTATTAGACGAAATTATTTTGAGTCATGATGGCTATCACGAGCTGTACAACTAAATTCATAATAGCTATCAGGTAATTGTGCTGAATTAAAGAATGATATCTAGATAAGAAAAAAATATTGGAAACAACAGTGTCCAAATATAATAATTTGAATAGTCGTCAAATCAATATAACGAATTGTTTGCATACACTCAATGAGATGTTTACCAGATATTCTTAATAACAAATTTAATTCCCTCTTATTTTTGATTGAGATCATGAACCGACTGATGTTAGACCACCGTTGGAAACCTGGAAGCACCGGAAGGCCGTTTCGTCCTGGCATGGGACTCCTCAGCAGTGCGCATCCACGATCCCGCTCGCGGGATTCGAACCCAAGACCTTCAGTCTCGCGCGCGAACGCTTAACCTACTGGACCACTGAGCTGGCATCCAATGGTGTTAATGTCTAACATCAACGATTCCACGAAATTGCGCGACCATCTTCCATTGTACTGAGGTAGATACCTGTCTCTACTCGACACGAATTAGCTCCCTCTTATTTCTTGTAACTAAATATTCCTCATCTGTTCAAGGGATTCATCTTCGGTTAGATTTTCGAGATTCGAACAGCCATGCAGTATAAGTAACCGGTAGACAATAACTGCAGGTTGGAGCTTAAAACACAAATCTGTGTTTGCTAAGGTCAGATTTTTATTGGTTTTAAACTCCGATCTTATAACATATTTAACTGCATCCTGAATCAGTCCGGAATACTAAAGAAACAAAGTGATCGTTACATTTAGACGACCCCTAATGTTAACTAATGTTGATTTACTATATAACCAAGGTTAACAGACGATGATGCGTAAGTTAGTGGATGCAAAAATGATAAAGAGGAAGTTCAGTGTAATTATTTAGTAGCTTATTTCACTTCAAATAAAAAACAATGTATTATCATTCAGTAATCTATCACTAATCTCATACTATATACATAATTGGCATCATATCATTTGTTAATTAGTGGTAATAATCAAAATATGATAGTAAACTGACAGGCTACAATCGATCAATTTGTTTTTATATAGAAAAACAAATCAGTTTTCTTTGTTGTTAAGGGTATACAATGCCAAAATATCATGAGATCGATAAATTGAGACGAGATTCAAATGAGTTTTTGGGTGCATTTTTTTTCTTAAAATGTAAACATTAAAGAAAACTTTCACATTTATTGTATATACCAAGTTATTTACCTTATACGTATTTACTCTTAATTGACAACAAAATTATTGTCAATTGATTAAAACTGGGAAGCACTGGACGCCCGTTTCATCTTAGTATGGGACCCCTCAGCAGTGAACATCTACGAACCCGCATGCGGTCCTCGGACCCAAGACCTTCGGTCTCACACGAATGCTTAACCCCGAGATCACTTAGCCCCGATCCAACGGTGTTTATGTGTAATGTCAACCAATATACGATATTGCGCAACCATCTTCTTTGGGTAACTGCCACATACGACACGGTTGAATTCCACTGGTCACGGCTTCTCACTAGAACTCCAGTAGTTATATTCCGAAGCCAGTCGCTAGTGAGCACATGATAATTATTAGTACAAGGTTCTAATAGGCTGCAAGAGTACCTGGAATCTTGGGGGGGGGAATGATGCTCCTTGTTCTCAGTGGTAACGTTACCGATCGTGAAGTTTGGTAACCCGAGTTTAAACCATATAGGGAATAACAGTTGCCCTATTGATGAGTGCCAACTACCACGAAACATTGGTTTAGAGTTTCCTACCAACCACCAAACACATCAAAATTCACACAATGTCGGGTCACTTAGATTAGTGTCATATTGCAACTTGATGGATCCAATCCGATCAATGTTAAAAATGATAAACTAGATAATCATGAACTTGATCACTACTTAGTTTTTCAGTGGCAACTTCTTGAACTACGTCTCTGAATCCAAACATGAGTTCCTATAATAACACTAATACTTCTTATTGATGAATGGGAACATATTCAACTTTAATTTGACAAGAAAGAAAGTGTTTCTCATATTTCGTTCTTCTCTAGATCGAAACTATATGATTGTTTAAAGGTATTTTAATGATCATCCACTTGTAAACTCGATTACAACCTTGTACATATTACACACAGAATTACATTTGCAATGTATTTTACTGATAAAAATAAAATTGGTTCATATAAGTTAGGAGACTTGATGTACACGAAGTGAAATTAATTCCCTTCATTCAAGAATATTTTCTGTTTATACTTTAGAAAAATTCTAAATCAATTTTCTACAAAATCTTAATAAGGAATCATGTGACTATTTTTTTATTTCATAGATGTTTTTCAAAGAAAAAGTTCGATCAATAGATGTTCTCAACAATGTTTGTTTATAAAATTGATGTACAAAATATGAACAAAAATATCTTGTCTTTATGATGTAACAATAAGTTTATAATAAATATTATACATGTATGTATTTCACACTAATATAGGCTTTATTCAGATATATGTATTTATTTATTTATTTAAACACATAGATATTGGTACAAGGAGGCATAAGATACATATGCGCCACACAAATCTCATTTGATTTGTATGAGTACTGTGATACTGCCGGGTGCCCAAACCGAAACAGATGGATTTCTCAGGGGGCAACATTCGGAGCCCTCGACCTAAAGATCTGATCCACAAGGCAGTGGGGCATCATAGTGAGATGCAGTCCCATGGTAGCCGGTGACTAACGATTGGTTCATACGTCATTTGTTCCCTCAGGATACTGGATCTCATGTGCACCATTGGTTCGGAATCAGGGTTTTCCAACTCCATTAGGTGGACTCTCCATATCCACCAACCCGGTTAAAGCGCCGGACATTCGCTTTTCGTCCTCTCAATTCCGTAAATAATACCCCGTTACGAAAAGGCAGTGAGTAGGACTTCCCTGTTAGAGGCTATATACGCGTGGCTATGGGAGAGCGTTTCGGGGGGGATCGAACTCGCCTCGCTCTCGGCCGTACCAGAGTATTTGGAGGAATTTATCTTCTTATTACCCAGAGGTATTTGTAAATATCAAAGTTGTTCCCATTTTGTATGGTGATTTGTCTTTATTTTTATTTCAAGCAGTTTCATAAAAATAAATTTTTATATAAGTTAGTGACAAAAAAAGAAACTGATTATGTTATTTCTTAAGTTGTTTTGGATGGATTGTATCACATTATATGCTATATCTAGTTGTAAAATATATTGAAATAGAAATATGAAAACATTCTATGTGAAGTAATATATATTTGTAACACTAACTGGAAAGTAAGGCATGAGATTTATATGTTAGTTAAATGTTTAAGTGTTACC